AGTACCAGTTCAGAAATTTAGGAGCAAGGTGTAGTAATAAAGATATTTTTTTTCGTTCTCCAATATGGCGCCCAAATGAAGTCAAATATCCAAAAATGTTCCCATAACTCCTATTTTTTTAACTTTTCCTCAGACTTCTACCTCTCTGTCTAATACCACCAACGTTACCGAGCAGGACATTGGTTACACTTTTCCAAATTCGCACGTAGGCTGGACATTGATTGCATGTCACAGCTCTTCATGCTACACATTACTCACTTTGGAGTGCGTTTTTTGCCCTACGACTTGCCTGCTCAAAAGCATCAATAAATGAGAGGGAGGAAGAAAAAAAGGGGGAGCTGCTACTGCTGCTTCAACTGTTGCATTTTTCATTAGCTCCCCCTTTACCACAAAACACCTACATGCCCACCATTTCCGAAAAGTGGGTTCTTTTTTTCAAGAAACTGCCAAGTCACAACGAAATGAAGATATCTCAATTCGGGCAAGTTTCAAATTTGCCTTCTGGGAAGTTAAATCACAAAATTGCTGACTTGGCTGGCTGGCTGGTTGGCCGTTTTGCCGGCCGGCAGGCAGGCCGTTTGTGCAGTTCTGTTTAAAGGGTGGATTTTTTGTTTGGAAATTGATTTTTTTTCTTTTTTTGCACAACAGCAACGATTTCAACCCTCATAACAAATTTATGGAAAACGCAAATGAGGGAGGAGGAGTAGCAGCAGCATCAGCAGCGAGAGAGTTGCAAATGAAATTAAAAATTAATGAATGATTTTATGACTTGAAATGTGTTAGAAATTTACTGCATGGCAGCGAACGGAGATGGTCCTTAAATTTAAAAATAATTTTTCTAAAATATAATTTAATGATAATCTGCTGCTAATTTGGAAAATAATTATGGAAACTTGAGAAGATTCCCCCCTTTGGTTGTGTGGAAAAATAGCCATGTGGTGGTCTATAAAGACTATTGTTTGGGTGCTCTTTAAAGTCAGGATACAATGACAGTTTGGCATTGTTGCGTGGCATATTAATGTGAAATTATAAGGGGCAACGACGACAGAATTCGAGTGTGACTTCGATATTCCTTTATAATGTATCACTTAATTTGCCATGCGACGATGCCAAGCTGCTAATATATCCTCACCTTTGGGGCCTCAAACAACTCTTTTGATCCTCTCTGAAAACCAACTCTTGGTCGTTTATGAAGACTTCGATAATGATCCATTTTTGGTGGTTCATGAAGGCTTTAATTTCATCCTCTGCAATACCTTTTTCTGGTCGTCAATGAAGAGTGCCTCTTGGGAGTCAGATATATAGAAATACTTTTGGTCATTTTTTATTTAGTCAAAATTTTAGACATCCGCTCTCGATACAGATTCCTTTTTTGCCCCCTACGAAGATTTTCTTTTGGTTGTCTATAGGGTTCCCTGAGAAAAATGCAATTCATTATTCGTTTTCTATACAAATTTTCCTCTGGTCATCCCATACGAGTCTTCTGGGGTCATCTATGGACACTCCCATTTGGTAGTACAGGGTGAGATAAAAAAAAATCTGCAACATAGTCAAACCCCATCATTTTTTAATTTTTTTTTTAAATTTTATTGAATGGGAGCAAAAAATGTCGGAAATAGCATCAAATTTTAGTAAAATTTTAAATTGTATCGAATTGGTCACCTTTGGCACGAATTATGGCCTTCAAACGGACAATAAAACAGTCACACGCTGCCCGCCCGAATGTTGCTCTGCGGTATTTTGGCCCATTCCCGACGTAGAGCTTGCTTGAGGTGATCGACACTTTGGTATTTTTTATTGGCAACCTTGTTTTCCAAAATACTCCAGACACAATAGTCCAAGGGATTGGTATCCGGAGATTTTGGTGGCCATTGTTCGCTGGAAATTATGCGAGGAACCTCATTTTGTAACCATACTTGGTTGGCACGAGTTGAGTGCGATGGTGCTGAGTCCTGTTGGAATGTCCAAGGTCTGCAGCCGAAATAGTTGCCTGCCCAAGGCTTTAATACACCCTCCAGAATATTTTCGCGATAATATTCGGCATTTATTCTGATGCCACGATCGAATAATACGAGCGGAGAGCGACCATCGGCTGTTATGGCGGTCCACACCAACACCATGGCCGGCGCTTAAGTTCTGGTGGCCAACCGAAGGTGCACATTTTCAGCTGACCTCTTTGGCAAGTAAACACGATTATTTAGTTTTGTTGTTGTTTACAAACTGCTGGACAACGAATATTTTCGGAATGTCATCGGGGAAAACCCAATTGGGCACTACACCACTTTCGGCCAAGCGAAGCAACACTTTAGCTTTTTTGGAGTCTATGTTCTTTCTGTTGCGGTGTAAGTTCATGCACTTTTTGGAATTTCAATGACTTTACCCCGAGCTCATTTTTCAATATTTGCCGAATGGAATATTGCGATATGTTCAGCTCACGAGCCATTTTTCGGCCACTGCGACGCGGGTTTCGATCAAATCGCTTCTTTATTTTTTCTATTTTGCTCACCACTGCTCTAGACACCCAAATCGTTTTCTCCTCATTTAGAATATTCTTCGAAATGAAAATTGTTCCGCAGTGTAATTTGCATTTCATTGGGAACACTTCGAACAATGTTTGAACATGGCTTCAGTGTCTCATCAAACTCAACATGTTTTGTTTGCATTTGACGAACCTGACCAAAACAATTGTGTCTGTTGCAACATGTCGTAACAAAAACACAAAACTCATACCCATAGATGCGGGATGTTGCCATTTTAAGATATTCACATACAATCAAATTGGTCGAAATATGGCCCTCATGGCACTCATGTAACGATAACAGCAGAATTTATGCATTCTGAGATGCCATGCCCCATATTCCAAATTAACTGAATATAATTTTAATTTTGCTATTGGACGGATGCTTATGGCGAATCAGAAGTCAATTTTATGGTAAAGATAATTTTTATTTAATTTCCCACGTTTTTATGGAAAAGTTGGTAAATTTCAACTTAAGATGCAGGCAGCTTTTTTACTGACTTAAATCATCGGCTGGCTACTTCGTTAAAGAGCATGGACTCGTAGGGTGAAGAAGTATAAATGATGGGCCAAAATCAAACTAAATGAACTTAAAAATTCTTTTACGAAGATGCCAGCCGATGACTTAAGCCAGTCAAAAAAAAAAAAAAGCCTCTTACGTACTCTTACCTTAAGGAATCCCAAAAATTGTAAATGTGCCAGAATCCATATAGCAGGTATTGTACAGATTTTGCCAATATTTTCAGTCGGTTATTCTAGAGTTTTGATCCTTAAGGACTGGCTTAAAATAAAACGGCATTCGAGGGCTACACAAAAACTAACAGCACCAAGAAGATTTACTTAAGATGAAGGGTTTAACATTTCTTTTAAGTTTAATCATAAGACAAGATAAATAAATATCGTCTTCCTAAGATATGGAACATATAACTGTTTTTATGTGCCTAGAAACGTCGAAAATAATATATTATTAATTATTTTTATAAAATATGGCACTCGTCATTCGTAAATATTTCAGATATGAAAAAAGATTTATTTGAAATACTTCAGAAAAGGTTTGCCATATTCGATTTAGTGAATGAAACTACCTCTATTGTTTTGCCATGATTACTGCTTAAATCATAAAAATACCGAATATAGGAAGTTACCGTTATATTGGGGCCTATACGAAGATGTGCACCTGCCTAGACAATTTTTTGTCAAAGACTGTAGTTCCCATATAAACGTATAATACAAAACCTGAAACAATTCCGGTGGGTAATGTCGCTAAAATATAAAATGTATACTTTGAGGCGTTACAAGCAATATGACAAACTTAATGTACCCTATATATTATGGGGGAGGGCATAAATATATATTATGGGGGAGGGTATAAATATTGTTATTGGAAATTTTCCCTTTTTTAATTTCCTCGGCATGATTTTTATTCATTATCCAATATTTCAACCATCGTTGATTATGTTTTCGTAGCCCTCATTTGACATTCAACTTAAATGTCTCAGCAAATACTAGCTGTATTTTATGAAAATATCTCAATCCGTTCAGAAGTTATACGCATTTAACGAAACTGCCTTATTTTCTGGTATATTCATTTAAATTGGTCGCAGAAAAAAATAAAACCGTTATGGGAGCACTGTTAATTTAAATCTGCCTATCTAAACAAAATATAATACCAATCAACTGTTCATATATTTGGCCATACTAAGTGTGAATTGGTATTTGCTTTGTTTGCTCTCCCCTCACTGATTAACTCTGCTCTCTTCTTGAGATTTTTCTTCTCTTTTACTCGATTTATTTATTTTTTTTTGGTGGGTTGTCTCATTATAATTTGTTGAGAGAATGCTTAATATGTTAGCTGTCCAACAAAGGAAAAATCATGAAAATATATCAATCCGTTCAAAAGTTACATGCATTTAACGATACTGCATTATTTTCTGGTATATTCATTTAAATTGGTCGCAGAAAAAATAAAACCGTTATGGCAACACTATAAAGTTAAGGCGGTCTGTCTAAACGAGATATAATACCAATTAACTGTCTACACATCTGGCCACACTGAGTGTGCATTGGTATTGGTGTGTGTTTGCTTTGTTATGGTTTTTGCTTTTGCATATGCCTCCTACCCACTCCTCTCACTGATGAACACTGCTCTCTTTGTGCGATTGATTTTGATTCTCTTTTACTCATTTGATTTAATTTGTTTTTTTTTGGTGGCTTGTCTGTTGTCGTCTGACCGGTTTTGTTCGTGGGCAACAATGTTCGTGCTGTGTGTTTTGACTTGCTATTGCTGTTGTTGTTGGCATTTGAATAACAACTTGTTTTCGTTGGCCATAAACAAGTTCGAGCGTGGTGTTTTGTGATAATGTTTTGCTTTGGAGCCGGTTTAAGTGTGAAGTTGTGTGACTCTACAGCTAGTTTGATGCAACATCAAACCCAGCAAGATTATATTTTCTTTCATTGCCCCTCATTCGCATTGCATTTGTTTATTGTTGTCTGCTTTTAGTTGTGTTTGAGGATTTGAGTTGTTGAGGTTTGGAGCGCGCACGAGTTACAATTTTGTATTTTGTCCATTAAAAAATAGCCGCGTCCGCAACGGTTTGTTTTGAAAAGAAAACCCTAAATCGCAAAATAAGAAAAGAAACGAAAAGGTTTAACGAAAGAAAGGAAAACAAAACACGCCAGCCAGCCAGCCATTACGGTTTACAAGTGTCAAATGCGCGGCGTGATTTGTTGTTATTTGAGTGAGACGAAATAAAAAACAGGCAAAAATAAAAAAAATATTGAAAAGAATAAAATTACAGTTGTCGGAAAAGAGAATTTGGCAAAGAAATTAAACAAAAAGGAAATTGTTTATAAAAAAAAGAAATTAAAAAAGTAAATAAAGAAAGGTGTGCACAAAGCAGAGATAATAAAAATGATGTGCTAAACATGAGTGATGTTAATAACAACAACAACAACATCTGCAAAAAAATAATGGAAAATGTGCAAAATTAGCAAAAAATTCTTGAAAATGTTTTGAAAAATAAAAAGAAGCAGAAAATTAAAAAAAAAAATAAAATATTGAAAGAAAATAACAAAAAATCAAGTGAAAGAGGAAAAAAAATTATTAAATGAGTGATATTCCCCCCTCTAACAACACGACGGCACTCAACATGTCCCGTGAAGAGGAGGAAGAGGAAGTGCGCACTTTGTTGGAACGCCATCAGGAGCGTATACGCCTGGATTTGGGCAACACAGATTTGTTGGCGGTTTTGGTGAAAAATTCCGTTCTCAGTCAATCGGAGGAGGATTTGTTGCTGAAACCCTATAATGCGGGTGGTGGTGGTGGGGGCCAGAACTCGGCACCCTCCAGTGTGGGCGTGACAAAACGTAAACTCAGTGCTGTGATTAGCAACGCCAGCAGTGGTACCACAGGAAGTACTGGTGGCAGTAGTACTGCCAGTGGTGGAGGTACCACCACTGGAATTGTTGGCATTGGCGGTCAATTGTCACGCAGCGCCAGCATCAACAGTGACCATCAACAGCAAACGTCTGCCAGTGTCACGGCCGGGGATAATCGTTCCATCACGCCCTCCGTGCAGGGTGTAACTCTAAATTCGGCCGATTCCATTAGTGAATCGGCATATTCGACCAAGGATGAATTGAAATCGGATACCTATAATGATGCTGATATTCTGCGCATGCAGTGCTCGACACTGATCGAGATCATTGCCAAGAATGGTTTTGAAAAATTCAAACAATTCTGTTATGCCATCGAAAATGAATGCCCACAGCTGATTGAGGATTTAATTAATGATCGCTTAAAGTGTGGTAAGTAATTGGATAGTGGAAATTAAGAAATTAGGGTTGCCGAGGCATTATTTTTTGGAAAAACTCTAGTCAAACCTCTCGGAGTTTTTGTTTTTTAGTTCCAGAGACCGGTATTTGTATCCTGATTCCGGAAAAGTAGTTTTTATGTTGGATATGTGTTTCCATTAGTTTTAAAATCATAGGGTTTGCTATTGGAAATGGAAATTAGTGTTGCCAAGGCATTATTTTTTTGGAACAACTCTACAAAAACCTCTCGGATTTTTTAACTTTTTCCAGAGGTTGGTATTTGTACCCTGATTCCGAAAAAAATAATTTTTATGTTGGATAGGTATTTTTATTAGTTTTCAAATTATACGATTTGCTAGATCCGGGCCTAATTCGGTTTTTGGCTTCTTTTGAGTCAAATATCTCGGTATCCAGGTCCGTCCCCAAAGGAAAAATACTTATCCGGAATTTTAGCTAATTTTTTTTAGGAAGGGTCGAAAATTAAAAAAAATTTTAAAACCTGAACAAGTTCGTTAGATCAAATATTTATACCCTCTACGATAAGGACAATCCGCAAACTCCTTTCTTACATTTGTTAGTAGATTTTGGTTTCAAAAGTAAAGATTAAAATCAAATTTTAGCTGAAAAAGATTGGAAATCTCGTCAAGCCTTAATTTCAGTGTCCAGTTCCATTAGGTCGTCCCTAGCTGCAATTCCCAAGGCTCTAGGGCTTACAAGGGCTCATGTCTCCTCTAAAAAAACACCTAAAAATTGCCCTCGTCCCGCTCCACATTTAAGAGCCAAACAGACTCTCTTCCTTGCAAATTATTATTTTTGCTTCCTTTTTTTTGTCAAAGCTAAAATTTTTATGTGAAAATTTTTAAAATGCAATGGCAACACTGCATAAAAATAACATTTTATGTTGCTTGTTTTGTTTTCTTTTTTTTTTTCTTGAGCGACTTGATATTGACTTGAGCTAGTTTGTCAGCTTCTGTGACAGATCATTACTCAAAATTAAGCCATTATGCAAACTAGTTTTATTTTTTTCGCCTTTTTTAATTCCATTGTCGTTTTGACCAATTGATTGAGCTTTGAACTTCGTTGGCCGCAGTATCACTTGGAGATTTGCATGGCAATTATAATCTACAAATGGAGATAAATGTTGTTGTTATTAAAAAAAACTGCATACTTCCTTCAATTTGGAACATGAAAAATAATGTTCGTGCAGTCGGAGAGCTGAATTTAACTATTTAGGAACATTTTATAATTTTTTATGTTGGGCGCCACTTTATTAAAAACTCTAAGGAGCAGTATCGAAAAGATTTTTAACTGTTTTTACCTGGTAGCCGAAGAATACATATCCATGGAAAATAGTTCACGTTGGGCGCCACTTTGTTAAAAACTCCGGGGAACAATAATAAATTTGCAACCGTTTCTACTAGATGGTAGAAGCATAAAAAATCTTTGAATTTGTTTCACGTTGGGCGCCACTCTGTTTGAACTTGCAAGGAACAATAACGGAAAGATTCGAAAGCACCAACCGTTTGTATTTGGTAGCAGATGTATAACCAACCTTTGAAAATTTTTCACGTTGGGCGCCACTTTGTTAAATAACAATTTTGCATATTTAAAAAAATTTTCGAGAATAATTTTAAATTAAAAGTTCTAAGCATGGTACAATGAAGAGAAGGTAGGTCAACTTTGAAAAAATTACAAGTATAGAGGTCTACCTGTTTGGCTTGTAATGTCAGAATTACTATCAAAACATTAAAAAAACAAACAACTTGTTGCATTGATTTTGAATAAATAATTTAAAACCGCGAAAACTGAATGAATGGTCAAAATTTCTTTTCAATATCACGTTCTCTATATCTTTTATGGTTTATTTCGTTACAAAAACTGTAGATTTTGTCGATGCATTCGTTGCAATAAGCATTTTGAAAACACCCGAATTTGAATATTTTCTGAACAATTTTTTATTATTGAAAAGAAGACACACACATAAGCAAATGAAGTTGACATATTAAGCCAGAAAAATAAAAAAAATTAAATCATATGGTAGTTCTGCCCTACCTTGAATTCATTGTACCATGGTTCTAAGGAATAATAATGAAAAGGTAGAAGGTGTAAAATCATTTCTACATATTTCTTACGTTGGATTTTTAAAAGTGCAGTAAATGAGAGTACGCAAGAGGAATAGTTCAACTTTAAAGATATTTTTTTGAACTCATGTTAATAGCTCCAATGAAAAACTATGAAAATATGCTCAAATATTCTTCATAGACAGAAGAAATATAACCATCATCTACAAATATTTTACTTTGGGCGCCACTTTAAGGCGGACTTTAAATGAGAGGTATATAGCTTAAATATTTCATTCTTAATATTACTTATCTATTAGAGTCCGCTTGAAAGTGGCGCCCAACGTAAAATATTTGTAAATGATGGTTATTTATATCTGTCTATATCAATAAAGAGTGTTAAAATAACCATTTTGAGATTGAATGAATGTTTAAGCTTTAAGGCATAACTTTGTTCTTCGAAAGAAATCTTGCTATCAGCGAGTTCAAAAACTAGTAATTAAACCACTTAGGAACATTTTCAAATCCTAAATTTAACTTTAAAGTTTCAAGGAACAATAGTAAAAATATACTTAAGCATTGGTAATAGGGATGGGAAGTATTACCATCCTTTGTAAACTTTTCATGTTGGGCGCCACTTTTAACCGGACTGTAATATGTTTTTCTTTAAACGTAGATAAAAGATGAGTAGTATTCAGATTTTAATATATACATTAACATTAACATACATTAACATACCTAATAACAGGTGAGATATGCATATAGTAAAAAATATTTTAGCTTCACCGCATGAATTGGTCCTTCCAACCAAAAAATAAATTTTTACACTTCATGGTTTCTGTCAGAAGTTTTTGAATATTTATTGACAAAAAATTCTCAATCTATGTAATTCTAGAAGATGCCCAGTCATAATTTAAGGTTTTTCTCTTGAGCGCCACATCTTACTGGGCTGTAAAGAAAAAGGCGCATAACTTGAATGATTTTTTATAATCATATAAAGATCGAATTCGTTTTTTGAGTAGCATTTAGATGTAAATAAACCCACGAAAAGTAATTTTTATATATAGGACCATAATTTTGGTCCTTTGAGCCAAAAAAAATAAATATTGTTTCTGTTAAAAGTTTTGAAATACCAATTGATGCTTTCGAATGTTTCATTTCGAATCAAAGAAAACTATTCAAAATTTGTGATTGTGAAAGAAGTGTAAACACACTTTACTGGACTTTATGCTCATAGAAGGGCTTTAAAAAGGGAAAGTTAATATGTAGATAAAATAATGGCTGCAAAATGCGTTGCCAAAAAAAAACTCGTTGGACTTTAAATCATGATTTTTGGTCCTTCGACCCAAAATTTTTAAATTTTTTACATATTCATTTTTTTAAATAAATTATATATACAAGGAAATAAATATTCAAGCCTTCTTAATGAATGACAATTAAGATTTTTTAAATTGGGCACCACTTTTCGCTGGGCTTTAATCGTGATCATATATCTTTCATTTGCACTTTTTTGAAGATAGAATAATTTTTATCGCTTTAATGAAGCCCGAAACAACATATGAACAGCACTTTTCAATTCTTAAAATTTGTCAAACTTAAAAGCAAAATTTTTGTCCTTCGACCCCCCAAAAAAATATTATATATTTCTACACGTCGTGGCTTCGTTTTCAAGTTTTAGAAGAAGCATATATGCCTTCACACATTTCATTATCAAGGCAAATATATTCCAGCGCTATTAATGTTGGAGAAGGCCAACCACTTTCTAATTGTTATGTTGGGCGCCACTTTTAACTGGGTTCTGAAAGAAAACCTCATAGAATTTTTTCTTAGTAAAACTCTTTGAAATTTATCCACAAATTTGAATTTATCCACAAATGCGTTAGGAATAAAATTTTTGAAATGGTTTAAAGATTTTCAATTTTATGTCGGAATTTTGGTCTTCGAAACGAAAAAAATATATATTTGCACTAACCTGTTTTCTAAATTATTTTTTTTTTGTTTTTACATCTTCGACTATCCATAATCACACTTTTGAAGTTGTTGATGTTGGGCGCCACTTTAATTTGAATTTAATTGCGAAAATATATCTTTGTTTATTCTTTTTTATAACCTCCACCATAGTATGGAGGGTATATTAGGTTTTACATTCCATTTGTAACACCTCGAAATATACATTTTAGACCCCACAAAGTATGTATATTCTTGATCAGCATAAAATTCTATGTCCGCTTGGCCGTCTATCCGTCTGTGGAAATAACTGTAAATTCCGAACGAAATAATGTAGGTTGATAAAATTTAACTCAAACTTTTCGTATTGAAAATGGGCCAAGTATGGTATCTCCCTTTTTCGATATTTTGGTGATTTAAGCTACATTATTCACCGGAAATGTTTGGCATTTGAAGTTCACAACGGATGGTACAGCCTAAGACAGAAAATTGTCTGTGCAGGTCCAAGTCTTCGTATAGCTCTCATACAACTGTACTTCCCGATATTCGGTATTTTGATGATTTTAACTACATTATTCACGGATTTTTTTTTTAAGTTTCGCATTTGAATATTGTAGTGGCTTATGTTAAAAGTTGCCTATGCAGGTTCACGTCGTCGTATAGATGACGTTATATAACGGCAGCATTCGGTATTTTTAAGACTTTAACAAAATTTTAGGATTTTAACATTTTGAGAGCAAAATCTTGGTCCTTCGGGCCGCAGAAATGTTCTTATTTTTTAACTTCCTGTATTCTATTTCAAGTTTTTGAATAATATTTTACGTTTAAACACATGTCATTGACAAGGAAAAGATATTCAAGTATTTTTACTGTAGGACAAGTACAATCGGGTGCAAAATGTTAAGTTGGGCGCCACTTTTAACTAAGCCTCTAACGGGAAGCAAAACATTTGATTTTTTCTAAAGAGAATATTTAATTTCTTCCAAA